TTGGGATACTCCTATGGAATCCCCCACCAATTTTGTTTAAAAGGTAATGTGAGTCTGAAAGGTAAATTTTTAAATATCTAAAAGAAAGGAAGAGATGTGAGTAAGTAGCAATGGCAGGTGAATTGACAAATATATTGGTAACTACTAAGAAAAAATAGGAAAGATCTGAGCTTTGGATTAGCTTTTTCATGTTTCATTATAAATACCAATACTTTATAGAGGAATACATTTTAAAGGGGAGATACCACATATTTAAAGTCAGAATTCATTACTATCTTAAAAAATATTGGCATAACTAAGGATGTAAATAATCTCTCTTATTTCAGAGAGAGTATGTTTGAAGCAAAGTATAATCAGTACTGTCTGGCATGGGCATATGGTAGTGAACAACTGCTAAAAGTTTTTACAGCAGAAAATGAACACAGACTGACTGGGAATAGAAAGGCATAGGAAGCTGACAGTATAGTATCAGCAACTGGCAATGTCAGTGATTTCCAAAAAAATAGATACTGTTTTGCATGATTTATCACCCCTATTTTTAACTTGTGGCAGGATTTAGAATTTCAGATCCACTAAAAATTATTGCTGAATTCAGCTAGACTAAGTACCAGGAATAGAAGCTGAAATTCTTGTGTTGACTTATTTTAACAGCAAGTAGACTGAATAAGATACTATTATTATTATATTATTTCATTTGGAAATCCTAGCCTAAAAACAATGTTTTTTATTGCTGCCAAGACATCATGCTTTGTCAGTGAAATAATTTGGAACAGAGTAGTACTTCTCTGAAGAAGCTTACAGCTTCAAGGTCAACTGCTAACTGCCTAACAGGGCTACTTCTATTATCATGGCTACAATTTATTCTGCTACTTCCAAGAAACTAACTAACTAAATAAAAATAAAAAAGGACTGGCTTCATTTCAGGAAAAGAGAACTAAATGTAAATTTCAAGTAAAAACAGAGATTATATTGTAAACAGATGTAGAAGAGGATAGTCCTTGCATAATACTTTTGAAAGAATTTCTGAGAACTTTTGGTAACATTTCAAAAATAGAATAAAATATTCATTTAGTTTTTTGCTTTCACATACCTTAAGAATACAGATACTTCACTTTTTACTGTAAAACAATCACAACAACAGCTGGTGCCTCCCTGTCTTGCTTCTGAAAAAAACAGCCTCAAAAGCTAGATTATCTTTCTTCATGAAGCAAGCAGTAATGTTAGCTGTTACCTTGGGATAAGCTAAAGCAGAACTTTGTCTTTTCACTTTAAAAAAGATATGCAACATAAAAAAAAAATAAAATAACAATAACAGTAACAACAACAATAATATTAATAATAGTAATACAGAAGTTGTTTTATCTCTCAGAAGATTCCAAATTCAACAAAAAATATTTTTTAAGAAGTGGATAATAAAAAGTTCCTGGATTGAAAAGATAGAAGTGGAGGCTGGAAGGAATGTTATCTGTTTATCAGTATCAACAGACTCAAGAAACAGGTTCCCATCCTCTTCTTTTGCATTCACACCTGATTACCATCTTTTCAAATTATTTATAATGTGAAAAAAATGGTCTATCTGTCTTAGATAAAGACCTTCTGCTCTGTGCTCCTTTTCAAGCCACTCAATCTGATATTGCCATCACAGAAACAGTTTTGGTATGCAGTTAGGTCAATAGTTGAGTTTCTTACTTCAGGAAAGAACAAAATGTTGCAGGATACCTGCAAAGTCTGAATGCAAACAGTCAGAAAATGGGTCTAACATCACTTCTTCATTTGTAGCTATTCTCTGTTCTGTCAGACTGATCTTCATGAGTCTGAAAAGCAACTAATGGCTTTAAGTGCTCTAACAGAATATTGGCAGAACAGGAAGAGTTTTGGGTATATAGACATTTTTAGCACCTCAGATTTTGCAGCCCTTTGTATTGCTACGAGTGTTGAGAGTTGAATGGAACTAGACTGAGATTAGATTCCTTTTGCCTGAATTCTTTGCAGTTCCTGAAGCCCAGTTGATCGAAACATTAAATAGAGTTGCAAGACCCTGTGATAACTTCACTTTTACCTTTGCTCTCAAATACATAATAAATTATGCAGGAAAAAAAGTGTCTGCCACCCCACCTACACAGGACATTTTCTGGATGTATGCAGATTAGCCTGTCAAATTGCTCAAATTCCTGCTATGATGTGATGATTTACTTAATTTGATGTAGCACATGAATATAAAATGAAAGGGTCAAGCTGGATTTTTGCTTTCCTGACTTTTTTTTTTTTTCTTTGAAATAGATGTTTAGTGTTTCTCGGTGTACTATCTGGAAACTATTTGTGAGCCTTGTTTTTTTTTTTAGCTTTCTTTCTATAGTAGATCTTCACTAGTTCAACAATAATAAACATTTTTTCCACTCATGTAACATTTTTCTGAGCAGCACAAAACGCTGAATGAATTTCATAATGCATAGCCTCTCATAGTTATTCTTACAGATATTTCTGAGTAAAAGGGAAGAATGGCAGAAAATCTGCTCAGATGGGAAATGCTAATATTCAAAATGATAGTGATTATCAGCTGCTTTTCTGGAGCTATCTGTAAATATTTATTGCTATAAAAAATCTAGAATTCCGCAGTGCTTTTCAGAATGGAAGGAGTTAAGTACAGTGCTATCTATCACAAATAAATTCAAAATAGTTGTATGATCAAAGCCAGTCTTTCCTGAATTAGTCACTGAGTTCTTAAGAAATAGTTTAATATTTTTTTCCCAGTATTTTCAGTGTCATATTTCCCCCTGCTGTTTAAGGTGTTTTTTTTTCTTTGTTTTCTTGCTTTTTGTTTGAGATAGTCTGTGAACATGGCAATAAAATTTACTGCTTGCCAATAAATATCTACTAGCTCTCTAACACTGGACAATATTTAATACAATTACCTACAATTAGGAGTGCTTTAAACAGTATCACTGAAGTCAATGTATTAGTTAACATTAATAAACACATCTCAGTCAGCCATTAAGTTTTTCAAACACAAACATCTGGCTAATAATGATAAATTTCAATTTAATCTTATTTCTGTGTGGTATGTTGGATGGATGTATTGCTTACATGAAATGTAATCATACAATTATTTTATGCTTAAATGTACGGTTAGCATGATGCTGAAGAAGAGTTTCTCATTTGATGGTATAAGGAGATTTTGTTGATTAGACAATATATAAAGAAAGACTATTCCTTCCTAACATTGTCATCTCCTTTTTGTTATTCTGAAGTCTCACAACTGAAATCTTGCCTTCCTCAGTCTTGAAATTCCATAGAATTAAGTCTCCCACTGCCTTGTGCTTTTTGGATATTTCTATCTGCATAGAGTAACTGTGAAATGCAGAGAAATGTAGAATGCACCACGGATGGAAAATCAGGACTACATATAATCAAGAAAAGTAAACTGAATCTCCATTCTCAAAAGTTAAGCTGACATTCATCAAAAGTATCACCAGTAATTACTGCGTAGTGAGTGACCATTATATTGAGATTATGCCAAATACGGATTCCTGGTCTACCCTTTGTTTCTTCAGTAAATGAATTAAGAAGTTAATTGTATTTTAATATGTTTAATTTTTGAATTACGTATGATTGGGATTGGCAGTACAAGATCCACAGAAACCTATGTTCAAGGAAAAGGTAACAGAAATTTTTTGTCAGGTTTTTACCAGGAACTTTCCAGAAAATACCTTACTGGCTTTCAAGTAACAAATGCCCGCTGATTATGCAATATATTTGTTGTGCTAAAAGCATAAACAACATTACATATACAACTATATATCTGAAATGATTTAATGGATTAACTGTTTTGAACACACTTTGGCCCCAGAATGGTGTAATCTATAGCAATACAATTCATAAACTTGTGACTGCTTTAATCAATTTCACACAGAGTTAAACAGAAACTAGATTTTTCATTTTATGGACAAGTCTGCTACTGGAAATGCATGAGTCCAATGGAAAATAAGCATGATATACATTTATATGAAAGGAAAGTGGGAGTAGAATGATGATTTTCTATCAGTTGAAACATTTCTTTGCTTCTAAAAGCTAATATTTTTTTTTTTTAAGAGATAAAAATTAAAGTGGCTCAATTTCATGGAAAGGGGAATAAAGGTAAGTTTTCAATCAATCAGTAAATAAAAATATACAATAAATGTATATGTGCATCACCTTTTTTAATAATAATCAGATTGCTCCCCTCTGTAAATGAAATATATTTTCCTTATTGAAGCGGTTTTTTTAAGACTATGTCTGTGAGATGAAATTGATTTCATAACAGATGTGCTATGAAATTTGTTATATTCCTAGTTTTGATGTTGATAACATATAATTTGCTAGCACTAAAATGATACAATAAAACAAATGAAATTAGCTTAATTATGTATTTTAAGCTAGGCTGTGATCTCCTTGTTAAACTGGGCCCTCAGTGTAAATAGAAGTAACCCAGAAACCTTAAAATTTGCATAGATTGATCTATAGAAAAACTTTGATAATTTATGATGTCTAAAACCTGCTCAAATTTAGAAGTTTAGTTCATTTTGAAAATAGGACTGATAAATTACACCAAAAGTTAGAGAATTAAAAGTTAAGCGACTGGTCCATGTTATGCTAGGAAGAAACATGTTTTATTTCATTTATAGCAAATAGTGATCTTAAAATGAGATGAACTGCTCATTGACATGCTTCTCTCTCCGTTCACAATAGGAAAAACTAAGCTTTGATTAGAGATCTAATATTAGATGAATGAAGCTGGTATGGATGAACTCCAAAAATAGGAATTTGGGTTTCTAGAGTTTTCTTCCCAGAAGCTGATTTTTCAGCTATTGGGAACTAAGGAGAAAGTAGGAGAGACAGGGCTGGAAAGATGGAGGAATAAAAGAGCACCAGGCTTCTAGCCACAACTGGTTACCTTGTTGAGTTAGTTTCCTTTTACATGCTGGTAAGCAATCAAATGAAATGCTGAAAATGCTTTACCATACCTGATTGTGGACTTTGTTTGGGGATTTTGGCAGCTGCTTCAGGGCTGGAGGTGGCACGCACACGTTGATTGGCAGGATTATGGATGCTACTTGGAATAGCTGCTGAGATGTTTTTGCGAGGTTTCATGTCTTGCAGCCACATTGGAGATGCCTCAAAGGCCTGCATTCGCCGAGAGTGGCTGTTAGCATTGACCTTGAGATATGCTTGGGCCTTGTATTCCTGAAGGTCTCCATAGTTGGCATCAGTCACCCTGCACTCATACAAGCCTTCATCTTTTTTCCTTACTTTCGAAATCTGCAGCTTGTGAGAGATGTCATTCCCTTGTACTTTCACTGTCTACAAATTTTCAAGGAAAACAAAACAAAACAGAAAAACATGGCATCAGTTATTATTTTTTCACTAGGAAGACTATACTGATATAGAGACTGTCCAGAGAAGATCATATGCCAAGTTAATCAGTGGTGTAATTGTGCTTACTGCAGGGAAGCTACATCAAAGATGAGTTTGATTATTTATATCTAGAAGGCTGTCTGACATCTCCTTTTCCAAACTGTTTAGATGGTTTACACTGAAATGTTAATTGGACTCGGACAAACAACTCAAAATACCATATTCATTCCAATTAATTTCTTCAGATCATAAGCATTCTTAATGAGCTTTCTCACATAAAATCTGTGAATTTTGTTGGTTAAACCTTTTCAGTTAGTTGGCTGTATTGAATAATTCAGCTTTTAAACTACTGCATTTACAATTTTGTTGGAGATATTTGCCAATATTTAAAGCTATTTAAACTTCTTTAATAACTATTAATTAGATTAGCTTGTAGTACTCATTTCGTTGAGTCTGCACTTTTGGAATTCAATTTACCTCTTTGGTGTGCCCAAACCTTTGGTCTTTAATAACCATAACAAGAAATCTTGTGTCAGGTAGTTTCCTTTGTCTCATTTATTTAACTTGTATACTTACTAGAAGTCATATATCATTTCCGTTATTTAACAATAGAAAGGAGCATGTATTCAAGATCATGTTAAAAGAAGCTAAAATCAGAATTCTGATTTATCTTTAATTGTTTCTAATATCTGAAGTTAATATAACAAATTTTTGTCCCAAGTAATTAAAGAATGCCTCAAAAAACTATGCATCCAGGAATGTCTGATAGATATTAAGATGCATTAAGAAAGGTAACACAGGTTCTTTTCTGTATGTTCATCACCTCAGAGAATTTATTTAATTAATTGGCTCTTCTGTCTGGATTAATATCTATTAACCCACTGGAAGCAAGTTAAGAGAGATTCAGTGGGAATGAGCACCACTTTAATACCACACTCATAAAAACATGCATCCACGTGTTATTGCAATAATATCAATAACAGGCAGTGGGGAAAATTCAAGGTAATGAATATGTAACAGATAACAGAAATGGGCAACCGTTAGATTAAAACTAGACATGTGTTATTGATGATTATTCAACACATTGCTTCTGATAACTTGGTTTACCATAGTCACTAATGTTGGCAACATACTTATTCTGCCTGCTTGACAAACAGAAGATGAATACTTATGAATACATTATAGCTTTAAGACCCTGAATGGTCTTTATAACTGCAAGCTGGAAACTGTGGTGTTTTCAGGTCTGAATTTATAATTGACTGAGTTGAACATATGGACTGCATTCTTTCAAGCATAACATATGCAACATTAATTACACATGTAGGTCTCCTCAAAAACAATGCCTCCAAAATACTTCCAAGGAAACAACAACAACTACAAAAAACACAATAAAACTATTTCATGGAGGGTATTTTCATCTACAAAACACTATTTTTCAACATAATCACCACCATTAGCTATGCACATTCATCAGCCATGAACAAAATTCTGCATGATGTGTTCATAAAAATTGGCATGAGCATAGGTGGCCCACTAATTCACAGCTATTATGACAGTATTGTTGCCAGGAAATATTGCCCATGCAATCCATTTTTCATCAAAATGAACAGATGGAAGTCAAAAGGCACTAAATCCAGACTACATAGTGAGTGGGGTAGAACAGTCCAGCCAAAATTGGCAAACTGTTCCATGGTCTTCCAACTGTTATGAGGCCTAAAATTGTCACATTTCAAGAGAAAGGTTGTCTTCTCCTCTGGTCTGACTCTGGAAGTTTGAGCGTTCAGCTTGGTCAGCTTGGTTTCTCTGAGTTCCAGGAAATCCAGAAGGATCACTCTTTTCCTATCCCAAAAAACAGCGCACATCACTTAACTCACCCAAGGGCTGAAACCTGAAACTTTTATTTGGTGAATTCACATATCACCACTCCATGGACTACTGTTTTGACTCCAGCGTGCACTGGTGATACTACATCTCTCACCAGTAAGGATGTGATCCAGGAAACTGTCACCTTCAATCTCATATTAATTCTATAGGTCCTGACAAACTTGCATATGATGTTCTTTCTGTTCCTGTGTGAATACTGATGGGACCCACTGATGGTGTAAACTTTGTGATATTCTGCTGTTGCACCATCATTTCCAATGCACTGCAGCTAATATTCCCTGATCATAATCTGCTGATCTGCAAAGATGAGCTGATTAAGACTGTCTTCATTTTGTGGTGTGAGAGGAGTGCATGCCCATCTGAAACATGGTTTGTCTTTTACATCACTGTTGCCACTGATGAAATACATAACCCACCACCTCACTGTGTTCACATCCATTGTTTGATCTCCATAAATGGTCAGCAAGTGTCAATGAATGGCAATGATGTTATGGGCCAACATAATAAAAGAAAAGGCATTACTTTCGGAGCACCCCTCGTAGAAAGTGCCAGATAGTTATTTCAGTCATACTCAATAACAATGTATCTCTACTGAACAGCTCATATTTGGCTAAAAGATTTAAAAATTTCATATGAGCTACATGAACGAAAAGAAAATCTGGAGGTCATAATCCTCCCCTATTTGACTTCACGCAATATCTACAAAGTTAACAGTAAAGCACAAACAAAAAATAGAATAAGTTTTTGGGTTTGTGTTTGAAATTTAGAAATTAAAACTTAAAACTATCATAAGTGGCGTACTTCAGTACCGTTTAAAAAATCAGTACATAGATTTTACTGTCTCTTTTAAGAATTAATGTACTTGAAAATTTACTTTCCTCTTCATGAAGATATTTTCCTTCATGGGTAGTATTTTTATGCCATCAAGAAAAAAAAAAGTCTACATTTGCCAAGTGTATTTTGTCTGTCACCCTAATGTATTATGCAAGCTTGAACAAAAACATTGTATAAATACCCCATCCTAAATTATTACCATACATACTAAAAGAGAGATTTAACTTGAAAGATGGTAAAGCTTTACCAGCTATACTGTGTTACAGACCTTCTTGATTACTATGCAGATTTTGAATACATTGGCTATGATACAGAATAAATCAGCTGCTAGCACGAAGTCTAGGAAAATAGTATCCAAAGGCTGCATGTAGACCTCGTTTGTAATTTGGTCTACAAATGTAGCTGAAGATACGATTCATGACACAAATATTGATTGTGGTGAGAAATATCATAGAAAATTTAAGTAACATTAGAATATGTATAGCATATATGCAAAAATGTGCATATTCAATTTTACAAATGCCCGTCAGTTATATCTAGATGCACTTAGACTTGATGTAGTTACTAGGCTGTCTGTTCATGGGCATGGAAGAGGAGAAAAACGAAGGATTTAATGGAAATTATCTGACTGTATCTGTTGCAAGTTTTACTGGAATTAGAACCTTGACTACATTGCTTGAGAGACTGTGCCTGAGAAAGGGAAAAATCCTTTGGGCTTCAAAGAAGTATTCTTGTTTCAGTATTTACTAAGTATTTGTGTCTTTTCACTGCAGTGAGCATGACCCCACCACGGTACTTATCTTGGGTTGCCACATGAAGATTTTGAACTCTTCTAAGGTCAAGGAGCCAATTCTGTGACTTGGGAAATGGGTATGTTGAGGAAGGCCCTTGTATCTGTGTCCTGGACAAGGGTTGCAGCAAAGTTGATCATAGTTTTGTTGACATATTTTGGTTTAATATCAAAACTGTAAATAGTGTCAGTACCCCTCTTTCCTCAAAAAGAGATTCATTTGCAAGACCTCTCTCTCAGCAGGCTTTACTCCCAGTGGGGAGGTGTTGCCCTCAGAGTGAGCGAGCCCCAAAAACAGCTTAGGAGTGCTAAATCAAACTCAAGAGTATCCAGAGATAAATGCAATCAAGAAACAGCACGATGGGCAAAGGCTGTCTGCTTCGCGTTGTGGAAACAGGTTCTACCAAAGCTCTACCGCTAGGGCTTCTCCTGCAGGCACCTTCATACCCAAGGGTCCCCAGGGGAGCAGACTCCCTAACGCTTGCCGGCAGCGCCTAACTCGGCTCTGAGTTAGGAAGCAGTCGCCCGAACAACGGGCTGGGGGCACCACTTACGCTTATCTTCGTGCCGTCGCTCTCCAGGTCCCGTTCGGGCAGGAGCTCCACCTGCAGGGAAAGGAGCGTCGCCGTAGGACTCCGGCCCCCGCACCGCCGCGGCCGCCCCGCTCCCCGCCGTGGAGCTGCCGTGTAGTAGGGCAGCGGCGCAGCGCGTCTGCCACCTGCGGGCCGCAGCGGGCAGAGCCCAATCTCCACCTCCGCAGAGGCTGAGATCCACCAGCCGCCACCCGCCCGTGTCGTGGCGTCGTCGTTCAGGGTCGGCTGAAGCCCTGAGCGATGTGGAGATGGCAGTAGGGAGGGTCCCCCAAGGGATGGTGTTTGGACAAGGCTCCTTTCTGTCCCTCTCGGAGGGATGAAATTGCAATGTTGTATGGATTTTTTGCTTGTATGGGGCATTATATGACTTTCACTCACTCTACCCTCTAAGGGAAAAAAAAAAAAAAAAAAAAAAAAAAAAAAAAAAAAAAAAAAAAAAAGGAAAAAGAATGTGCCCTTCTACAGTTCTGCTGCACTAGCTGTAAATTGGAGAGCCATGTAGAAGTTTGCTATTTGGGAAATAAAAAATTCTCACAAGAGGCAGTCTCTGAACAGCTGCCCTTCCGAAGGGAATCTAGAGGGAAGAAAATAAAATAAAATAAAATAAAGTAAAAAGAGAACAAAAAAATAATAAGGAAAAAAAAAAAAAAAAAAACCAGAGTTTGGAAATCCATGTGGTTTCATGAATGTCCCTAGCTGCATACTTAGAGTGGCAGGCACCAAAGATGCCATCACTTGAGATGGGCATTTTTCTCTGCAGGTTCCTGCACTGTTATTTCACAAATTGAAATTAAGTGCCTGAGAAGACATGGAACCTCCCTCTGCTTCCTCCACCTTTCTGTCCCTCCATTCTATCCATTCTTGTGATGTTCTTCCCAGGTGGTTTAGGGACCCCATGACAGAGGATCAATACCTGAGTTCCTGTCACCTCAGCTCCAGCCTCTTGGTCCTCAGCAGCCCGCAGAAACCACCACTGGATTTCAAGGTACACCGAAGTGGAGCCACTTTGGAAAGCACAAGACATCTCCACATTCTGCCCTTCAGTTGCCGTGACATTTCGGGGAAATTCAGTGAATTTTGCTGTAAAACAAATGTGTAGTGCATTGGGATTCTGCCATCTGCACACTGTTTATTCTCTCGTTTTATCTTGAGATTCTTCTCCCTTTCTCTATTAATTTCTCCATTTTCCCACCCTCTTTCCCTCTCTATTCTGTTTTTCCAGTTTCCCCACACATTATCTCCCCCCACCCTTCTAAAACTCAAGTCTTTTCTCCCTTATGTACAAATCCATCTTCCTAGCAGTCTAAGTTCTGCTCAAGGGAAATGTTACAGACCTCACTGCTTGCTCGCATGGGCTAGTAAAGTTTCATTTAATTAGGTCCAAATACCTTTGGGCAGAATGCAGTATTTCACCAGAATCACTGAGGTATTTTGTTCAAAACCAATTTGGAAGTGGAAAAAAAAAACCCACAAGAGGTTGATTTATTGTGTTTTCGAGGGCTGAACTAGAAATGTGTAAACTGTTAAAGCTTCTGTGGCTGCCAGGAGCAACTGTTGAAACAGGTTCTCTTCTGAGGGGTGGGTTATGACCACTTGCTAAAGTGCCCACTTTGAAGGTTTTACCTGAGTTACTTACTCTTTCCGAGAAACTCTGCTTTGTAATCAAACCAAGAGAAATACATGTTTTAATTCTCACTATGGCATGCACACTGTAGAACTAACCTTCATCTTTGTCCATCTCTACATACCACTGCTAGGTTTAAAAACTAATCCTGATCAACATAGTCCAGTATTTCTTTTAGCCTCAGTTTTGACTTCCTTCTCATTGTTTGACATAATTTGCTTTAAAATTGTGCATCATGATGAAACGTGATGGTCAAGCAAGGGGGATATTGCAGTCAAACAGTGTGGTGAAGAAAATGTGTATTTCAAGAACAGAAAATTTTGTAAAGAGTCTGCTGTGTTGCTTTCTGTTATGGATTGTTACAAATTGACTAGAGTAAATTATGAAGTGAAGGAAATATTACTCGTGCCTCCTCCCCTCTTGCTGTCTCGTTTTCCAGTTTTCCTAGCTAATCCGGAATTGATGGGTTAATTTAGAAATATGTTTAAACAGCTTTACTTCCCCCCCCACCACACAAACACATACATACTCATGGTTGTCAACAACAACTCATCAGCAAAACTACTAGCTATTATTTTACCTTGTCCCTTCTTGTGGTGCCCACACACCCCCAAACACAGACACACACAGCACACACAGGCACAACACACACACACACACACAAGCTCCACAGTCAGCGTTTGCTAGTCACCTGCTGAAACAGGCAAAAGGACTTTTCATTTTGCATCTTCGGGGCTTGCAAGTTTGCTTTTTTCTTTTTCTTTTTGCCTGCTTCCTCCTTCTGATCAACGCGTGTGAGCGGTGAGGGGAGGTAAAGGAGAATGCTACCCCTGCTCTCCACTACCGCATCGCCAGGAACAACCTGGCGCGGGTCGCCAACCCCCCGGAGCCGGCTGCAGAGAGCGGCGGACAGGGGGCGGCGGGCAGTCAACGAACGGGCAGCGTGGGGGCGGCCCCGGGAGAGCTGTCCATGGTGCTGACAGCGGCTCCGCAACCCTCGCGATCCCAAACAACCCGCGCCCGCTGCGCCGGGGCTGCTTGAAATGCAAGGCGCGCCATACAGCGAGGAGGGAGGAAGACGAAGGGAGTGTGTGTGTGTGTGTGTGCGCGTGTGTATGTGTGGGGGGGTGCGAGGGGGAGGGGGGGGGGATGGAGAGAGAAAGGGGAGGCCGGAGGAGATCTTAAAGGAAGTCGATTTTGTCTTTCTCTTTTTGTTTTTGTTTTGTTGGTTTTTTTTTTTTTTTTTTTTTTTTTTGTTTTTTTCTTTCAGAAATACACATAGTCACCAAATGGAAATGAAGGTCTGACACTGAGAATCATAGTATAATGGGAGAAGAAAGAGGACGTAACACAAAAGAAGACTGCAATATTTTCAGGGAGGCAGTAGATTTAACTATCCGGTACTTGATCTGAATGCAATAATTATGCATGCATGGTTGTGTGTTCATTTTATCCAGACATGTATATGCAAAAACATGCAAAATGAAAACACCATTCACCAGCACTCCTTAATTCCTTTGTAAGGTGCCTCTTATTTCCTTCTTCCCAATCAAATAAAAGAAGACTGTTTTATTCTCACTTTGGGGAAACTTTTTCTTCTTTCCCTATTTACAAGCTTTTTTATATTTTTTTTTTTTTTTTTTTTTTTTTTTTTTTTTTTTTTTTTTTTAAGATAAATTTGGTCCTGATGTTTGGTGTCTTCATCTCCTACATATCGTGTTTGTTTTCCCTGTTTTTTTTTTTTTTTTTTCCTCTTCTTCCTCCCTCCCCACTCCTGCCCCCACTATGCTTTAGCATGGAAACACACACATGTATTTAACAATAAATGATCTTACCTTGAGTAGACAGTCCTTGCTGGATATACATAACTGAAAAAAAAATGAATCCAACATAAGCTAGAAAGATCCCCATCATTCCAAGACGAAGAAGAAGTCACATCAGGGTAACAAAAGCCAAAAGTGCCCTCAAAAAAGGAAGATTTTCTATCTGAGTGTATTTATGTGTCTCTAAATGTATGAATAGAAGGAGATTTTAAAAATGTTACAAAAAGGCTCTGTATTGTAGCCCTAGCTGCGACACCAGCAGCATTCTGCTACTCAGTGGAGTCTTTTTCTTTGGGAAGAGAGAGTGTTGCAATACAGTGAGGTTTAGATGAGCTGTCTCAGGCACTGTGTTGCTTGAAGTCCAGATTCAGACTATTAAAAAAAAAAAAAAAAAAAAAAAAAAAAGTACACGTTGAAAAGTGGGTAACAGCTGCCTTCCGTGCCTCTTTTCTGCTACCTGGCAGCTTCATCCAACGTCAGCTCCTGCTGCTCAGGGTGGTGTGATGACTACCCTCCCTACACACTGATCTAGCTTGAGAAGAGGAGAGTAGGGAAAGAAGGGGGGGGTGGGGGGGGGGGAGGGGAGAAGTCTACTGTGCTTGTATTGCTTCAACTTTTCCCTCTAATGGCTGCGATGATGCCTTTAACCCTTCCCTCTCTCTCTGCTCTGTACATGTCTCTACCTGTTCTGATTGCTGCTGGCTGAAGTGCTGGTGTAAAGCTTTTTTTCTTTTCTTTTCTTTTCTTTTCTTTTCTTTTCTTTTCTTTTCTT